GAGGTGTCACCAACAGGGAGCCAATCCTACCGAGGTGTCACCAACAGGGAGCCAATCCTACGAGGTGTCACCAACAGGGAGCCAATCCTACGAGGTGTCACCAACAGGGAGCCAATCCTACTGAGGTGTCACCAATCCCTGAGCTTTTGTTTAACACATTTATGGTCTGTTTTAGCCTTTCCACTGTTCTTGCCCCTGGGTGGGTGACCCATGCAGAAAGAAACAAAAAATTCTAGAAAATAATGTTAATAACTGCACAATAATACATTATAACTAACAAAACAGAAAAATCAAGTGGTAATATTAGTCTCAAAAATAAAATCTGAAGTACAGGCATGAAATGCAATTGCTTATAAAGTATTCTAATGATTTAATATAGTTCAAGGTTTAAGATGTGGTTACAACTACTAACAATTAACAATACTAATGACTAATGCACAGGTCTGCACATCTGCTTGAGTAACACGTGCCTCACACCCCATTCTCTCTCTCTCTCTCTCTCTCTCTCTCGCTCTGCAGACGCTACCTTGCGGCACTCTGGGCTTCTTGAACAAGCTGGCGGAGTGGCGCAGTTTGACCGCCCAGCTTTTGAATTTGCGAGTCCAGGACCTCTTGCTAACAGGGTTTCTGATACTAGGACATGTCAGGTTTAGGCCAAAATATCCACCTCCTGCGTTGAGCTGCTGCTGTCCTGGCCGAAGTGGGGGTGCTTGCTGATTGGGGGACCATGCGGCATCTCCGGGGGTGCTGTCTTCAGAGGGGAGGGGGGCAGACTATGGAGACACAGAAAGGAGGAGAGGCATGGTAGAGCAAAAAGTCATTAAGAACTGTGGATACTGTACATAGGCAGCAAGAGAAGTACATAAAAATCCATACCCTCAGTTGACCATTGAAAGAAACTGATTTTTGACGTTTTAAAAGACTAGATCACATCGTTTCACAGAGCGAGTGTTGCTTGTGTGCCCATTGCGACGTCACGGTATACATGGGGCCCCCCTACTGCCGGGCAAATTCGGCTACGCCCATTGTCAAACTCCTTCTGTACCACTGCATCTACATCTCCATAGTACAACAGGAAAGATTTACAATATGAAGCATAATAAGGAAGAGGACACTGGGCCAATGGCACAGGGTCAGCGTTACTGACTGCAGTGACACGGCTCCCCCACTCAGTAACGCCGCTCCCACAGCACTTACACACACGGCGGCCTCAGCGGGCAGACTCGGGGCTGTGGCCGACTCCTCCCGTGGAGGCAGAGGCAGGGAGTGGGGTGGAGAGGTTGAGGAGAAGGCCCCCACCGGCTGTTGCTCAACGGCCACCGAGGTGGCTTCAGGGACCCTGTGGTCCGACACTGCCTCTTCAGCACCAGGCTGTCCCTCTGCATCAGGGGAAGTTGAGGAGGAGCGTGAAGTAGATGAAGAGGAGGTGGATGAGGAAGAATGAGGAGAGGTGTCGGAGGATGAGGCTGGCGGTGGGACGGGAGGGCGGCTCTGGAGCGGCTCAGTAGGCTCCTCCCCCTCTGGCACCGTTAAGCCTGGCATAGCAGAAGAGAGGAGTCCAGCTGGAGCTATGGCAGAACTCGCCGCAACTGGGACCCCGCTGCTGTACTCCTGGTACAGCAGATTCCTCAGCTTCTCGTCCAGAGTTTTGATACGGTTGTCTACATATTCAATCTTAGGTGGACCCTCACTGTCCGACTCACCCACAGAAGAGGGCTGTGCTGGGGAGGGAGTAAGAGTCTGAGTGACTGAGGGCAGTGGGGGGTCGGAGGGGCCCGCAGGAGTGGAGGCAGGCTGAGGGGGATTAGAGAAAGGCAGCGTTGGGCCTGAAGGACTGGCTGCATCCTCTGCCACTTGCTGCTCCTGTGGGGGCCATGGGGGCTGCGGCTGAATGACACACTGCTCCACAGGGAAATACGGGGAGAGCTGCTGGGGGGGCTGTACTGGTTGCTGCTGCTGTGCCACAAGCGGGAACTGTGATGCCTCTTGTTGTTCCTTTTGCATTTGCTCTATATTTACCAGCTGTGGTATCAGCTGATGCTGCATCTGTTCAAGGTGCAGTGACTGATGCGTCTGAGGAATCTGCTGCTGATGAGTCCCATCCAGAACCCCGTGACCATGATGCTGTGGTCCTGACTGCTGCACTTGATGCGACAGGGTCTGCTGCAGCTGCTCGAGCTTCTCTCTGTGCAGATGCTCAAGTAAAGCTTGCTGCTGCTGCTGCACCTGTTCGAGGTCAGTCTGCAGGAGAGGCTGTTTCTGTAGGGTCTGCTCCCAGCCTACCTGTTGCAGTGACTGCTGCTGCTCTTGCTGATATGCAGTGGGCAGCTGCTCTTTTATTTGCTGCATTTGTGATACCTGCTGCTCTGCCATTGGTCTCGTTGCTGGGGGTCCTTCTGTCCAGTTCTTAGGGTGGTCTTGCAGCGAGTTCTCTGTGAGTTCCGAGGTCTGCTCTGGCTGTGCAGATGTGTGGTTAGCGGCAGGGACAGGATGGACTGCAGTGGACATGAAATGTTCGACCTCGTCACTTTGGGGCATAGACTGCTCTGGTGGGGATGATTTCCCAACACTCATGGCCACAGTGCCATAGACACAAGTGACAGGATATGGAGTAAGCACAGCTATAGAGCCCGCAGTGACAGGGGCAACATTTGAGAGGTTGGTATCAGAGTCAGATGTTGAAATGGAAATTGTGGCCTTAGAGGGTTGATCGGCGGGTGCTGAGGTGTGACGCGAATCAACACCACCGGAAGCAAATGGGACATCGGCAACACCACTAGAGACAGAAACTGAGATGCGAGTATTAGAGTCAGAGGCAGGGGCACCAATGGCTGGGGCAGACATTGAAGCTGGGGCAGAAACAGTGGAAACAGAAACACTGGAGGTAGGAACTGGAGGGACACTGACACCACTGAAGGATCCAGACCTCTGTGGAGCTTCACAATCTGCAGGGACAACAGTATTTTTTTAATACCCCAGTAACATGTCAGCCTTTTCAGGTGTCATACTGGATCAATGCAGTTAAATATGTACAGATTCCTACCATTTTTGATGGTCATGTCCGCATTGTGTAATATCTGACTTTCTCCAGCAGGGGGAGGTGTTAAAGTTCCTTGATTACATTGAGCATCCCGATGACGAATTGTCTGGTTGATGAAAAATCGCCAGCGACCCACAGGGGAAGACTGGCACACTGAATCCACTGAAAGAAAGAGCAGGAACATGGAGTCAGCCTGGAGGAATCTTTTAATATAAACCATATTCATTTTTATTCATGGCATTTACTCATAGGATCTCTATCAATAAACTTAAATGCAGCGTTAAAAATAAATTCCATATTACATACTAGATGTCACCCTTTGCAACCTAGTAACCATGGTTACCAGTGCATACATAAGAGATGTACCCCAGTACTCTCTCACATATATGTAATCAGATGCCATAAATCATTTATAATGTCCATCCAACTTGGGAAAGAGAGAGGAATACCTACTGCTAGTGGATGCGGGAGTGGTCACATGCAGCTGCTCCATGGAACCAGTCTAAGAAGAAGTGAATGTAAAGATGTCAGTACAATTAAAACTCCTTCCACAGGGTATATGCTGTCTAGATCACATATGTGAAACCCAGAGGCCAATTCTTTAATTACGATACACCAAATTCACGGTTCGGTACAAAATTCAGTTTTGGGTTCATGGTTTAGTGCAATTTTGGTGCCGTAGGGAAAACTGGATTCGTTTTTAAATGTATTACTAAAACTGCAAACACAATTAGGAAAAATTGTCAACTAAAGGCAATGTCTTTCAACATGCCTGAATAACAAAACCTAAGAGATGCTTATTTGCACATTTTTAAAATAAAGACACAAAAGTAAATTAAAATTCAAAAACAGACTCATCCATTGCTATTGTATTGCTAAATGGCTTTCTGACTTCTTGTACTGGAACATGGATAAAGGTGTGACATCTTTCCCAGCTCCAACTTCCCACCCCCGTTCCGTTTGAACTCGGAAGTTGGAAATACCTCCCTAGTATTCCTGCTTGAATACAGAGTCATTCAACCTGAATATTTTCATTTGAGGATTGGTTCTAATGTTAAAATAATGATTTAATTATGATTCAAAAACATGTCATGGGCAGTGGTTCACAAACTTTTTATACTGCATACTTATACTGCATACTTATACTGCATACTTATACTGCATACTTATACTGCATACTACCTCAGAAAGTCAACCAAGAAAGTATTACACTTGCAAAAAGTTGTTGGGGGTAGCGACATTAAGCCGTGTACCACAATTATAACCAACATCTACATACACTGATGCCTTCACATACCTTATGGGGATATGGTAGGATAACAGCAATGCATTGATGCAGCAGCGCTTAGCGATAGTAAAAATGAGGGGCAGTTTTGACATTTGAACCTGTTAAGACTATAACTCAAAAAGTTTTTGGATTTTTTTTCAAATTTTGTATAGAGACACTGTATGGGTGCCGAACTGGAACCATAAATTTTGAGACAGATCACCCCAAAACTGAAGTAACATTACTTCGTGGCAGCAAGGTGAAGGGTGAAAGCCGAAAACATTTACCTTCGTGAATGTGATAAGTCAAAGAGTATTTCATGCATCTTATTACTGGTTCACAAAAACATTATGTGGAAATTCTATACCTGGTTTCATTTTCAGACAAATTACCCCAAAAATGTAGCAGCAGCACTGTGTAACAGCAAAGTAAGGAAACAGCAGCTACAGTATAGAGGACACTTGGTCAAGTGAACACAGTAACTCAAAAAGTATTTTACAGATGTTTTTTGAATTGGAGGCACATTGTAGGATTGACAAACTGTAAGCGATCAAATTTTGAGACTGACTGTCCCAGAATTGAAGCATTGCTGCATAGTGATAGCAAAAGAAACAGTTGTTTCAAACTATAATGTTTCTCCACTTGGACAAATGCATGTCATTTAATCAGGCTGTTATTTTCTTAATGCTACCTACCGGAACTGCATCATCAACAGTTGTACATTCCAGTCTGAACTACGGTAACCACATATGGTAGCAGTCAAAAGTTTGAACACGCCAAACAAGATACAAAGGAGAGTGATTCTGTTTCACATCACATGACCTGGCCATGTGTCCTATTGGGATGAGGTCAGGCCAGTCAAGTTCCATTATGTGATAATCGTATGTAGACAAAATAATGGCCCAGTGGTAGATACTGTACGTGCAGCGGCCATCATCACTAGGCTTTTATGTTCAGCAAACAACACCAACAAGGATCTATGATCTGCCATAAAATTGAATCATTGGTGAAATCTCTATCACTATAAATCAGGGCTAAAGCTTCCTTTTCAATCGAATAGGCAATAGAGCGTTCCTCTCCAATTGGCACTATACGCTGTATAATGGCCCCAATGCCATACGTATTGGCATCACATGGTAAGGTAGGTTTAAATCATAGTGTACGAAGAACTTATCACTTTTCAAAAATTCTTTGCATTTACTGTGTTCTGCTTTGTTCCAGTGCCAAGGGGCATGATCTTATACACAGGTGGTAGCACTGTACTCTGTTGTAGCACAAAGTGTTCATAGTAATTAACAAGACCTAAAAGAGCCTAAAAAAGTTCCTTTACTTTGGTTGGAACAGGAGCATCCTGGATGGTTCTCATTTTGTAACTTGAAGGGTGAATCCCATTTCCATCAAAAACATGGCCTAGATACCCAATCTGCCTCTTGCCACACTCACATTTGGATTTTTGTTCCCGCAGGCCACTATCCTGAAGGCAATGTAGACTTTTTCAAGATTCTGCATGTGTGATTGTTCATCATTGCCCATTATTAATAGGTCATCTAAACAGACAACCGTATCCAAGTCTTTCATCAAGTTCTCCATTATCTGTTGAAAAACTGAGGGTGTGGAGCTGATGACAAAAACTAGCCTGTTGTACACTTGTGTGTGTTTATGGTCATGTACTTTTTCAAATTATCAATAAAAACATTTGCTGATAAGATGCAGCTAGGTCAATTTTGGAAAATATTTTTCTGTTGCTTAGTGTGGCCATGATTTCCTCTATTGAGGCAAGGGATATATTTCAGTCTCTGCTTCCTGGTTCACTGTTATTTTATAGTTCCTGCATAAGCTAATTGTCCCATCCCTTTTGACCACTGTCACAACAGACATGACCCTACTCACTATGTTTAACAAGAGTGATTATGTTGGCCTTCACCAACTTGTCTAGTTCTTTATTCACATGCTCCTTCATGGCAAATGGCAAGGGTCTACCCTTATGAAGCTTAGGAAGGATATCTGACTTTAATGCCTTTGATTGTGCCTAGTTTCTTCACTGATCACATCAGGATACATATCTAACACTTCAGTCCTCAGAGCTGAGTCCCTAGTCTTTCACTTTGCTCACTCAACCTATTAATGTCCAGTTGAGTTTTAATTTATGCAACAATTCCTGTCCACAGAGTGCACGACCTGCATCCTTCACAACTACCAGTGGGAGATCTACTCCTTAGCCCCCATAAACCACCCTAAAACGGGAATATTCTCTCCCATGTATGTTTTAAAGTTCACACCAGCGCCCTCTAGTGGCAGATGCTCAAACTCCCACTTGTACATTTCTGGAGATACAGTATTATACTAACTGCAGTACCTGTGTCTATTTCCATGCACACATCTTATTTACAGGACCTTGACTGGCGGCTCAGCTCTACCAGTCATATAAAACATCAAAAAACATTTCTAATTCTGTCTCCTCTGTCTGCACATGCCTGGCATGTCTTTTATGTTTCTTTTTGTTTGCTTCACAGGCATCCACTTCAGTCTCTTAGCTCGACACGCCTTTTTTACAAGTCCCACTTTGTCACAGATATGGCATTTAGTGTCCTTAAATTAGCATTCCCCAGCAATGTAATTCCTACCTCCCCATCTGGAACATGGCCTGTTCTTTTTCCTGGCCACTTTAAGGACATTTGCCACCACCTCATCCATTTTTCTTTACTGCCGTGTGTTCTGTCGACTGTCTCCATGCTAAGAACAATTTCGAGTGCTCTTGCACACGTTAAATCGGTCTCTGAAAGCAATCTATGGTCAGCTTTACTTTTCATTCTGCTAACAAACTTATCATGCAGTGCTTGGTCCAGCGTAGTGCCGAACTTGCAGTTAAGCAAGTTTCTTCAACTCTGCAGCAAACTGATTAATTGTTTCATTAGCTCACTGGCTACACAGATTGAATCAAAATTGCTCAGCTATTGATGATGGATTTGGCTCAAAATGATTCCACGAGGTTTCAACAATCTATCTGATTGGTCTTGTCTTTTGGTTTATTTGGCTGTACCAGGTTCCTCAGTAGCCTCCGAGTAGAAGCTTCCATCACGCTCAGCATCATGGGAACCTGCTTGTCATGGTGTATGTCGTTAGCCAGGAGAAAATGCTCCATTAGCTCAACATAAGCTCACCATGACCATGGGATACATTAATCCGCTCTTTATGTTTGAGCCATTGTACTCACTGAGAAACCAAATCGTATCCGTGTCTCCAAATCATTACATAAGACACAGGCATACCATTTAAATCAGGTTTGTATTTTCTTAATGGCACCTACTGGAACTGCATCATCAATAGTTGTACATTCTAGTCTGAACTACAGTAACCATATAGGTCCATAGTTGAATTTGTCATGAAAACACTTAAACAATTTTAACCAAATATGCCTGTTATGTGCCGTAGGATTTCGTGGCATGTGCCATAAGCTTTTCTACATGTGTAAGGTTATTTCTTGAAGAAAATGCTGCTCCCAGTACGAAGGGGTTCCACCCCAGTCTCCACCCCAGTCTCCACCCAGTGTACATCAGATGTGGTCAGTTCCAGGACCTCTACAAAAGGACTGCAGATGCTACTGCTGAGGAGCCTCTTGTTGGTTTGCCTTCACTTGTAGTTGGTGCTTCATTCCGATGTGATTGCGCATGTATGACTTTGGTAGGTTTATCGAGTCTTGCCTTGCCCCTGGTTTTGCTCACTTGTCTCGGATATTTCTCTTCTCTGTGTACCACCCACTTTCGAATACGATTAGGTCTAGCCCCTGGTTTTGATGCCTTTGAGTGTGTATCGTGTATGGTGTATTGAGTAAAGAGTGACTGCTGTTTTCTTTGTATATTTGGATAGGGAGAAAGCGAGAGTGATTGTTTTTTGTTTCATTTTTCTTCTGTAGGTAAGTTAGTTTGAGATTCAGTGCAACAGACTGTTTCGTTTATTGTATTGGCCAGGGTCACTCGAACTTTGTAAATACACCATGACAAACAAACTTGTAAATACACACTCTGTTTATACTACCTATTTTGTGCACTGTGTTTGTATTCCTCCACTCCACACATCTATTCTGTTACTCCCCAGCCCCCTAGACTGGCGCACATAACACATCACACAGACATTTAATCCCGTTAGCATGATAACTCAAAAAGTATTTGACAGATCTTTTTCACTCAGACAAAATCAAGTGAACAAAATAATAACAACAAATAGAGTTATTCTATTCACAAGGTTAAGCCTGTGATCAACCCATCATTCTTTTTGCCGTCACTTAGTTTGCACATGTCCAAATCTTCACCCAGTTTGGAAAAGATCAAGTGTCTGACCTGGCTTTCTCTTTGCTATCACTATGTGGCACTGATTCGTTTTGGTGCTATTTGTCCAAAATTGAGCAGGTTCGGATCTTTACCCTAACAACATATAAGCAAAGGTTGAAAAAGATCTGTGAAATACATTCTGAGTTATCGTGCTAATGGTTTAAAACTACCCTTTTTTGATATCACTATGTGTGGTGCTGCTTCAATTAGAGCAATCTGTCTTTTAGCCTAAAGCCAGAGGAATCATTTATAGTTTGGCACCTGTACAATGTCCCTGTAAACGTTAAAAAGGCTCCATCAAACAGTTTTTTAGTTATCGTTTTAACAGGCTCAAGTAGCAAAACTGCCCTTTTTTTGCAATTATTTTGTGACACTGCTTCAGTTTTGGGATAATTTGTCTCAAAATTTAAATAGTTTTATTTTCTCACTCTTATAATGCCTGTGCAAAGTTTGAAAAAGAACCATCAAATGATTTTTGAGTTATCACCTTACCAGAAGCATCTACGGCGGCAGACTGGTGTTAAAACCATATGTATTGCCTGAGAACTGGGGAATACAATTAAAAATGATAACCTTTTGAAAATGGTGTTGTGTATCATTAAGAACGATGGTTTGACAATGTTTCAACAGTAAATGTAAAGTGATGGATTTTAAAGCATTACAATTTTGAAGAGATAAAAAAAGACTTTACTTTTAGCTGAATTTTTGTTGTAGAGTTTTCAGGTTAGATGAAAAAAATAATTGAGCCTTTCTGAAGGTACTATTTATAGGGCCAAATTGAATATTTGAACAAGAGACATAATCGGCTCAAAAATAACTAGAAGTTAAAATGGCTATGCAGCCCGGATATACAGACCTGTGACTGAGAGTGAAGAATTTCAAGTGCTTGTGTGACAATTGTCTTCAACTCTTCTACAAATTTTTCCTTCTCTGACTCTAGGACAAAATCTTCCTCCACCTGTACAGAATTGATCATATATAAGCAACTCTTTCACAATCAGTATAATCATGTGAGTGCACTCATACAATGATTTATGTTTTATAGGTTTTCTCTCCCTAAATGTAGCGGCTTCTCACCATATAATCCGCAATGTCTTCAGGGGCATCGCCCTCAGTATCAAACTTGAAGGTGACCATTTTGTTACTGTGGGTCTCCAGCTGACACTCCACCATGTTGTCTCCACTGCTAGACACCTGGAGGGAAGAAAGAGAGATGCCCCTTCTGTATAGGTGGGAATCACAAGTGCCAGGTGTAGCAACAAGTGGCCACATGAGCAGCTCATTAAGACCTGTCATGTATACCTGAAGCATGCTCAGCTGGAAGTGTGTGACCTTCTCAACTCTCTGATAGGAAGATCTCCTCTGGGATTTCACCTTCTCCATCTTCCCATTTCCCAACTGGAGATTTAGTTCATCCCCAGCGGCAGAAGCACAGCTAAGAAGGAACAAATGAAGCCAGAATCAGTGTTATAACAGCTCCAGCAAGATGGTTATCACCATGTCTAATCATGACTTTCTCCAGGCAAGATAGTACTCAGAACTACATGAGGATGGGAGCATGGAATAGGTATAAACACAAGGCTAGAAGTGAAGATTAATAATCACTCTTGTTCAGTGATTTTCTTATTGTAAACTAAGATAGAAGGTTTTAAGTGCAACTGATGCCTACAAATACAAACTTGTGTGGTTTTTATAAATGGCAGGAGAACACAAACACGCTTGTGTTGCATGGAACATGTGACTCCAAGTGAGCCATGTGGAGTCATTCACGCAGAAATCCAGATAATATCCAAATTTTTACTCACATGTGTATAATGCGTATTAATATAAATACTGAGGATGTACAAACAGTTTAACCGATAAACCAAGGACAGTAGCAATGAAGATATGATTAGTAAACAAACCTGGATGATGACTGTTTTTCTGTACCAGTCTGTGCTTGAGTATCCTGTATGGTCAAAAGAGACAAATACACAGAAAAACACAGACACATAAAACACCACAAGGGCACATTGACACAACAGGCAATTAATTGACCAAGGCTTATTTTGTTTAAATTGGGTTACTTTAGAATGTAAAGCAAAAAATGTGTCAGACTGCAGAAACTTTGAATCAAGCAAAAAAAAAAAAAAAACATTTAAACAATCACAGTCGTAAAAAGTCAGGGAAAAAAGAAAATTAAGACAAAACAAAAAAGTAAAGAGATGATTAAACACAGTTTTACACAAATTATCAGAAAATGCTATGCAAGCCGTGTTTATATGCACTTGTACGCTGTAAAAGTAAAGGCAGGTCATGGTACAACTGGTTAAGTTACATGCCACTAGCCTGCAGGTGCCAGAGTGCTTCCTCAGTACATGCAACTAACAGTCATGTTGTGTGTGGGCTGTACCTTAGCGATGGCCAGCAAGGCAGGTTCACAGTCTGGTAATGAAGACGAGGGCAGCAGGGGCAAATTAGAGCTGAAGGACTGGAAAGCAGTGGAAGGAGGTGGGGAGGTGTGGCTGATGCCCCTCGGCACCCCGGACTGGACTAATTGCACTTCTGTTGGAGGGGGCTGGTTCAAGCCAGGCTCAGCAACAGGAATGGAGGACAAGGTGGTGGGAAGGATGGGTGAAACAGAAGGGGGCTGTGGGGATTGGACAGGGCCAGGGGGATTGGAGAGTGCATGTTCTGTACTTCCCATCAAACCATCAATATGTGTCTGTGTGCAAGAATGAGCATGAGCCTGGGCGAGCATCTGCGTGTGCTGGTGCTGTGGGGAAGACAGCAGGCCAGCCCCTACCTGACTGTACAGGGGAGGAGCTGTCTTGGAAGGGGGCTGGGTCAAATGACCTGGTGGGATCAAGGGTGACTGATGGAGGCCAACTTGAGGATGAACGGGCAATTGATCATGTTCATGAGGAAGTGCACATTGCTTCAGGACTAGTAGCGGGGACTGAGTTGGTACAGGGGCTGCATGAACTTGAGGCTGCTGCTGCTGCAGTTGTGAGGCTTGTGGCAGCTGTTGGTCAGGTGGGTGTACCTGTGGCAGCTGTTGGTCAGGTGGGTGTACCTGTGGCAGCTGTTGGTCAGGTGGGTGTACCTGTGGCAGCTGTTGGTCAGGTGGATGTACCTGCAACACTGGCTGCATCTGGCCCTGACCAGGTTGCTGGTGCTTGGGGGTCGGGGGTAAGGATGGGGAAGTTATGGTTGCAGAGGCTGCTGCAAAAAGAGCTCCAGTCACTCCCTGAGATGGCACCGTCTGCGAATAATGCAAAAGTGATTGTTGTTGCGCAGCCATCCCTAGGTCTCGTGGCATATGCTGTGTGGCCTGCAGATCATGTGGGTATGAAGCCGGATGCACACCAGCTGAATCTTGGGACTGAGGCTGTACGTAGGTGGGCACTGAAATCTGAGATTGCTCTAACACTGGAGGCTGGGTCTGGCTGGGCACATGAGCTGGGGCTGGCTGGTGAACTTTACCAAGGTTTGGAGACAAGACTTGGCTTTGGGAAATTACCTGCGCCTGGCCCTGAATCTGCGGAACACAGCACTGGGACTGAATCTGGGGCTCAATTTGATCTAACGGAGGAGCTTGGCCTTGGATTTGTGCCTGGTGAATCTGAGACTGAACGTGTTGCACTGGGCCTTGGGCCAGTGCTGGTGTTAGAACCTGTTGGTTACTGTACAACTGAGCTTGACTCTGTTGTGGTGCTTCTGTTAGAGGCTGCTTTTGGATTTGACCTTGCACTGAGAGCTGGGCCTGTAATTGGTTTTGAACCTGGATCATAGTTTGTACTTGACTTGAGTCCTGAACCTGGGGTACCACTGGGATACAACTCTGGACCAAGGGGTTACCAAATATCTGAACTGGGTTTTGGGCTAGGGATTGAGATTGGACCAGAGCCTGAGACTGAGTTTGGGCCTGAATGTGGTCCTTGGGTGTACCCTGTACTGGAACTGAAGTCTGGCTTTGGGCTAAAATTTGAGTCATGATCTGCAAATCAGTTTGGGTTTGAACAAGTGTTCCTTGAAGCTGCTGCAATGAAGCTCCTTGTTGCGGTAAAAAGCTCAGTTGCTGTATTTGACCTGAAGCTTGTTTGTCTTTTGGTATCACCGCTACCTTCAGGATCTCCCTTGGTTGTTGTATTATGGTCTGCTCCGTTTGCTCCTTCTCCATTTGCTGCAGTTGGTGATGCGACTCAATCTGGTGGTATGGCTGCAATATAGCTTGCTGTTTCTCCATCTGTGGTGGCACAGCATGCTGCTGTTGTTTATCAGTTTGTTGGTGTAGTACAGCTTGCTGCTGCTGTTGAAACATAGTCTGCTGCTTCTCTGTCTGCTGCTGTAAAATAGGTTGTTGCTGCTCTTGTTCCACATGATGTTGCATGCCAGTGAGCTGATGTACCTGTTGCTGCTGCATGGCACACTGTTGATGAAGCTGTTGGTGTTCAATCTGTTGTTGTTGTAGCAAAGCTTTTTGTCGCTGCAATAACGCCTGGTGTTGTTGTTCAACTTGTTGATGTAATAAAGCCTGTTGTTTAACTTGTGTTAAAGCCTGTTGTTGCTCAACCTGTTGGCTTAATGAAGCCTGATGTTGGTGCTCTACCTGCTGTGGTTTCTCAATGTTTTGTTGGTGTAATAAAGCCTGTTTTTGTTGCTCAACTGGTTGTTGTTGCTCAACCTGTTGTTGTTGTTGTAATAAACCCTGTTGTTGTTTTATGTCAATCTGTTGTTGGAATAAAGCCTGGTGATGGTCAACCTGTGGTTGCTGCTGTAATAAAATATTTTGTTCCTCAACCTGTTGTAGCTGCATTACATGCTGTTGTTGCTCCCTCTTCTGATGTAGTAGCATCACCTGTTGTGTCTGTAAACACTGCTGTTGCATCAATATTTGTTGATCAGCCTGTTGTTGTTGTACATAAAATTGATGTTGCTTTTGTTGCTGTAAAACACCTTGCTGCTGCTGCATCAAGACTTGCTGCTGGTGCTGTTGATCTGCCTGCTGCTGCAAATAAACCTGGTGACATGGCTTGACTTGCTCTGCCAAAGCTGGAAATGACTGCTGGAGTGAACATGGATGCTGCTGCTGTTTGAATGGTTGCTGTGGCATTGAAGCCTGTGCCTGATGTTGTTCTACTGGCAATTGAAAAGGAATCTCCTGAGACTGCTGGAGAAATGTGCCTGGTTGTTGCTGTTGAATGAAACTAGCTTGTGGTTGCTCTTGAACCAAACTTGGGTTTTGGGACTGAACAAAACTACCCTGATGCTTAACTAAACTAGCTTGTTGTGCCTGAACCAAACTAGCATGTTGCTGCTGCTTAACTAAACTAGCTTGCATTTGTTGCTGAAGCAAACTAGCACTGGACTGTTGCTGAACCAAACTTGCTTGTTGGGGTTGAAAAAAACTACCTTGCAGTTGTTGCTGTTGAGACACACCAGCTTGGTGTTGCTTAGTCAAACTGGATTGTTGCTGCTGCTGTAACCTAACTGTCTGTTGCTGCTCCATCTGATGTTGCTGGAGCAAGGTGGCTTGTTGTTCCAATAATACCTGCTGATGTTGCTGCACGATTGTTTGTTGGTGGACTACAGGAAGTTGGGCTTGGGGCAACAAGTTGTTCATAGGTTCAGGCTGATGCATGACATTTGGGGGTGGCTGTTGAGACAGGGATGCAGTAACTCCTGCCCCACCCTGGGGCAAATACAACAGCTCAGTGTGTTCTCCAGTGTGGACATTAATAGGGCCTTGAGGTGAGACTGGGGGCAGGAAAGGTTGTGAGGATGCAACTAAGGCATGGGGGGGCGCAACATCCCCTGACTGGAGTGACAGTACTTGTGATCCATCCGAGTGGTATGACTGAAATCAGGATGTAAGGAGAGGTGCATTGCCAAATGAAGGCCAAACAGAGGATGTAAGGTCAAGTCAATGAGTGAAAGAGGCAGGGAGGGAAATGGTGATTGAGGAAAAGAAAGATAGCAAGAGCAGTATTAGTATAATGCAGCAATCATAACAAGGTATAATACGTTTCAGACCATTCATTTTTAAGCACACTCATACTGGATTCATTTAAATAAATTTCATTCTGACGAAGATTTTTCATTCTGAATAATCAAATTTTCTTCATTTAAACGGCAACATCATAAAATTGCTACTATATGAAACAATGAAAGAAGAGCAGCTTTGTGGCAAGACAGCAAAAGTCAATAAGGGCATAACCAGCTCCACAGACACACTCCAAAATCTTGTGGAATGCCTTCCCAGAAGACTGGCAGCTGTTATAGCTTCAAAAGGTGGAACCAACTCCACATCGATGCCTATGGATTTAGAATAGGATGTCACCAAATTTCCTGTAAGTGTAATGGCCAGGTGTCCCAATACTTTTGTACATATAGTTTATAATCCCCATGTAGCTCTGTCAGCACCCATACATTGATTCTGCAAAGTTCGAAAAACATCTGTCAAAAACTTTTTTTAATAGGATCAAGTGTCAAAACTGCCCTTTTTTGATGTCACCCATGCAGTACTGATACAACTTTGGGGAAATCTGTCTGAAAATTTAATCAGTTCTAGTTTGTTATGCATACAATGCCTCTGCAAAGTTTGAAATAGATCCATCAAATGGTTTTTGTGTTATCTCAACGAACAAAACGTCTGTGCCAGAGGAAGACCAGGTCCAAAACTATGCATATTTCCCATCTAGGGAATACAGTAATTTAATACAAACCAACAGAAATTTATTACAATTCAGGGCCTGAATTATATTTGTTTTTTAAAACAAAAGGTTATATCTGAGCAAACAGTCAAGTGGACATGACTATATGCCACCCTCTTTTTCAGATACGTTTCACAGTCCATGACTTGCAGCGCTTCCAATAATTCTGGGCAACTAGCCAAAACAATCCCTGTTGTTTTTGTAAACTAACTTCAGATGAATGGAACAACACACAATATTCCACAGAAAAATCATCTCTACAGACTTCTGTGTAAGACATTCGGAAGTGAACAGGTACTCACATTTCATGTCTGCATTATTAATGTATCAATGCACACCCCCTTGTAAGTATCCAGCATCATTATGTCAAATGATGTTTTGTTTTTGTGGCTACAAATGAAATATCGATCCATCCTCTAACTGCATATCCTGGTCAGGGTCACAGGGCCTGGAACCTATCCCAGGTAGCACGAGACACAAGCCTAGGGTATACTGTACCCTGGACAAGATGCCAGCCTATCACAGAGTACATACATGTGCACATACTAGGGCTAGGATTAAAAAAAAAGATTTTCTGATTCAAACAGTTCTTCATCTGTATAATCCAATAATGATTCATAAAATCGGTAGATTGTTTTGTTAATATATGCCTTTTACAATTATGGCCATTTTCCGTGGATGTGTGAAGTTTTAACTCTGTTAGTCTCGCATGGTCAGCCTCGTGCAAAGAGATCTGGGAGACAAAAGTAGATAAAAACATGCCATGAGCTGTTCCACTGCAGGTACCATCAAGCCTGAAGGCAGGTATCTGGATGCATTTTGGATTTCAGAAGGTTGTAGACAGAGAACAGCTGGACAAAAGCAAACTTGTATGTAAGATGTGCAAAATGGAGGTAAAGTACTGTGGAAATACCACAAATTTCCAAAACCGTTTAACAGATCAACCAGATGTGCAATCAGCAAAAATATCTGATTTAAAACTTATTGGTCATATTAAATAAAAAGTTCATTAATGCAGCCGCTTTGGGGTCAATTTTTAACGCACATATTAATATTTTAATAATGCATCAGGTTAGAGGGCCCCTTTTACAATTTACAGCATTAGTTCTCAGGGGATCTCTTCCTATTTAAGCAAAACTGATATTGTAACTGAAGTTTGAATACTGAATCAAATGGAGTCGAACCAAAAACTGAAGCAAATCAGGACCTTGTCAATTGGAACTGAATCAATTGAGGAAATCGGTGGTGATGCTCAGTTCTAACACAGGAACATGCAGGATGCATACATATACATATTCCATATGTGCATACATACATACATACAGGGAGTTAGCAAGGGTAATAAAAACTGCTCTGCACTCTGAAGCGGGTTAGAAAGCTGGGCTTCATTCTATAGCACTGCTGATGTGTGTATGAGCCTGAGGCCAGAACTGAGCTGTTCTCTTCCCAAACCCTTTAAGTCAGTCAAAGAAACCTGCCGTGTACAAAGGGAAGAGCGGCAAGTGTCTGACACACACAGTGGTGATCCCCCCTTAACTAGCTGGCATTGAAGGGTCATCTATTGGGGCAGCTCTTTATTTCAAACTGGAAGAAAATGGAGAAAATGGAATGGTGTGACCTCGACCTTATCTAGATTATTCTCCCAATTTTTAACATCAAATTGTAAGCTTCAAGTCATCAGTATATTACTTTATTTTGTATGGCGCTATGTAATTTATTGATTTCAAATGTACTGATTGATTTTGTAATTTATTGATCCAATCTTCTACATAAATAGTCACTTGTCTGATTTGAAAAGCATATTAATTATATATTTAATTGCTTTAAACAAATCTGAAATAAAAAAACAATGCAAAACTACATGATGTAAGGGGTAACAATGTTTTCTCTGTCTTGAGAAAACAAATAACTAAACAGGTGACTGTTTTAAGTGACTGGTCAGAATTACTGTAAGATATGAGAAGGAAGTAACTTATTTCAGGCAAACCTGTTCCAAGGGACCCCTGCATAAAAATATTTATGTGAGAGAATCAGTCTTATTTTACAAAAATATCTATAAAGCCCTGAAAGGAAGAGGGGAAAGAAAGAACAGACCAGACACGAAGTAGACATGAAACACAGAATGCAGGAAGACGACTTACCAGTGAATACTGCTGTGGCACTTCTGGGGATTGCGGTGTTGCCATAGCAGCTGGCTGCGGCAGGCTCTGTCCTATGGGCACGCAAGGTAGCCCCATGCTCTGCCCAAGAGGGGCACTGGAAACACTGCCAGCCTGGCCAACAGGCACACTCTGACACGAGGCAGGGAGCTGTGATTGGGAGACGCCCCCAGCACTCTGCACCGCCTGAGGGTATAAAAGCACTGAGTTTGCAGGAGTGATGGCAATAAAAAGGCTGCCATTAAAACCATGGTACAGCAGTGTTTTTTTCAACCATATGAAAAAGATAAAGGCATGATACTGTAACTGTATTTATCTTCCTATAATAGACTGTAAGCATTGAACAAGGCTGTAAACAACACGGTTTAATTTAATTAGCTTCTTTTAAATTCTGTATTGGTCAAAGCTATACACTGGATGACTAGTACTTTGTAATATAATGGTCACTAAAGGCTTTATTTAGTTTAATTTATCATAATTTTGGTAAAATTTAAGAAGATATGGGCTATATTTATTATTTTTCCAACAGGGGCAACTGTCTCCCTGGTGGCCATTATACAGCCGCTAAACTGCCCAAAAAAGAAAGACTGACCTGGTACAGTCTCCATTTTGTGCCAAACAGCATTAAAATGCACCTAAACATGCATTAGCACTCACATTATCTCTGACTGGTAATGCTATGTGGAAAACAGGGCTGCACGATATCAAATCACGATATCACATGGAGATATGTGAAATTTCCATGAGTAACGCTGCAATATTTATCAAACAAAAAAGGATATGAAATTAGCTTAAATAAACTACAGCCAAATATAACATTTAATATAACATCTACCAACAGAGTCTGTCAAATAAGTAAGTGGTGTTGTCATGAGTTGTGTCAACAGACACAAAGCAGTACCAACAAATGTGATGTGATTATTGTGCATATGCACAATATATCGTGCATCCCTAGTTGAAAAGGCGTGAATTCAACACGTTGACCAATAGCCCTCGAATCCCAGTGTAGAGTGAACAGAATAGCAGCAAAACAGACACTCACAGAGGTGGTGGTTTGGTAGACGGACTGTCCGTGGGCGTAAGGGTACCCTGCCTGCAGGGCGCATTCTCCCGGGAGGGGAAAGGCTTGGTTTTGCCCACTGGGAGCCAAGTCACAGCTGACAGAAGGGACACTCTCTCCTTCTGTGGAAGAGAGATACAGACAGAGAATACATTCCAGAAATTGTTAGGCTGTACTTCCATATTGCCCACTCATGGGAGGAAACCCAGTACTCGGCTTGCAGAGACCTGGGAGGCCAGTGGCCGTGACACCGTGTATGTGTGGCTGCTGCCTGACCAGCTGTTCAACCTCTGGCACGTCATCAGCCTCCCCAGGGACTCCACCTTCAGCTGTCGCTCCTGGGCCCAGTGAGGTGTGGCCAAACGGCCGGGTGCATGGATGCGAGGAAGTGAGCGTGGTGGAATCTCTCCTGTCTTCCAGCCCATACTGTAGCTGTTGCTGACGCCTCTCTCGGGATTTCTTGATGAGCGTAACTCTGTCTCGAATAGACTTGCCCACCACCTTGGCATCACTCTCATGGAAGAAGCCAGATTTCACCTGGGGTAGGGCAGTCCAGAGGAAGGCAGGTGAGCTGGCAGCTCTGGCATTTGTCTGTGTGGTTGTCTAACACTTCCTAGTCCCTCTTCACCTTACCATCTCCAGGGCCACCTCCTCAGCACTGTCATTCTCCAGGTCATAGCTGAACTCGATGGCCTCATTGTCCTTGTGCTTGCCCTTCAGTTTCTTGGGCTCCTCCACCCATATGCGGAGTGCTAGGCAATCCTGGTGACCCGTGTCTTCCTCAGCCAACTCTACACGTACTCCTGTGTCCTCACCAAAAAATGCGTGATTTAGCAGGTCCCGGATAGATAGCCTGCAAAGGAGAAGACAAGGAGGAGTGACTGACTTGGTGAATTTGTCTAAATGCGGATTCAGGTAAATTAACGATCCAAGCATTTCTGGACCTTTGACACAGTGGACCATAAGGAACTGTTAGATAGGTCAGGAGACTGGGTTGGCCTGTCAGGTAGAGTCCTTAAATAGTTCAAATCAGACCTAGATGGCATGGATTATTTTGTCACTATAGGAAGTTATAATTCCAAACATATTGCCTTACGGAGTCCCTCAAGGGTCATTTCTGGACCCCCTCTTATTTAGTCTTTATATGCTCCCACTTGGCCAGATTCTTAAAGACAGCAATATAGCTTAACATCAGTATGCGGATGATACCCAAATTTATTCAGCTCTGTCGCCAAATGACTATAGTCTAATAGATTCACTGTGTCTGTCGGTATATGTGTATGCATACTGTATGTATGCATAGTCCTTGCTAATGCTTTTTCTCTACTGTTCTCATATAATTGATGCAACCAGCACTTTCTCACTTTTAATATCTGTTCTTAAATGTTTTTTTTTTTTTTTAATTTTACATTTTCATATTTGTATGCTTTTACTTGTCTGTTTTTACTTTATGCATTTTGAATGACCTTCGTGTATGGATATGTACTATATTTGCTAGGTTTCTGAACATAACCCATGCACAATTTTCAAGAATACCACAACAATGTCCTACTCTTTGGCTAGCAATGGCTTTGTTATTCCTGGTGAAAACACTCAATAAAGTAAAAGTAAATAAAACACTGCAACTGTGGTCAAGCATGCTGGATTGCCATCAATCAAATTCTTCCTGTATTTACTGATCAAAACATTCCACACACAGTTTATGCATTTAAAATGATCATTTCAGATCATGTCTAAAATCTTAACGGGATTTCGATCTGGATATTATAGGGTCAGTGAAAAACAATATTCAATATTCTCATTCTTCAACAATTGTAATTTGAAGGAGGTTAATTTTGAAGTGATATGGTATGAATGGGTTAGGACCAAATAAGTTTACACTTCTGCCTACTCCTTTTGAAATCAAAAGGTGTAATATTATGATGGAGAATGTGGAAATGTTTTTTTTATTTGTTGTTTGTTTGAAATAAATAAAAAAGAAAAAAAGGATGATATGTCAGATAACTATATTCAGCTTATTGAAAATTCTCTTTTTTCGTTTTATGAAGCAGTAACACTCACCTCTGACTCTTATTCTGTCTAATACAGCCCTCAATAATCTCCTTAATTTCAGGGTCACTCACTTTGTCAAAACTGGCAGGTTTGATACCCTGTACAGAAAGGAAAGAGCTCAATTAACAGGTATAGACACAGAGGGGAAAAAAGAAAGGAATGGGGAACACAGATCTAGATTATAAAACAGAGAGCAATAAATTAAGAGACACAGAACACAGAAAACAGACCAACACTGAACATGGTACACAGACCACTGGACATGTATGAGGTGGCATGTACGTATAACCAAAATAATTCAGCAGATCAGTAGAGACTTACACTAGTAACTTTGCGGTAGATTTGTGCGGCGTTCTGGCACTCAGAGTAGGGGTACTCTGAGGTGGCCATCTCCAGCATGCACATCCCAAAGGCGTACACATCCACTGACTCATCATAGTGCTCCTCGTACATTTCTGGAGCCATGAACTCTGGGGTTCCTTGAAAGTAGAGCAGGGTACAAAGAAAGCGGTCACTATGACAACAAGGACACTCCTTTCCTGAAACACAGTCACCATTTCTGAAAACCTTTTCGAAAACACTAGACTTGGACAACATCTTTTGATGTCTGTCATTACAGAGGAGACCAAGAGACAGGAGGAGGTTCTGCAGCCACCATCTTCTGTGATTTTGTGCATTCCTTTCCGTGACAATTTCTCTTTTCCACCTAATCCTCTGACATTACTCCTAAAAATAACTGCTTTACCACACCAGTTCCTCATAATAAGCAGAAGTACAACACGTGAATTACTACTTTGTTTGTTTCTCTTCTTTACTTTGCATATTTTTCAGACAAAATCTTATCTCGTAAAATAACAATAATCTTCTATCTAACATTCAAGCAATATATTCTTTGTTCATTCCAAGCCTTGTAAGCCCATAAAACCTCTCTAACTCTTGTGGAAATTCCATTACCACCTCAAATTCATGATTATGAATCTGTCCATCGATCTTTCAAGCACGTATACTGATCAGAGTCACAGGAGGGCCTGAAGCTTATCACAAGCAGTACAGGGCACAAGGCTGTATACACCCTAACTGGGATGCAAGTTCATCACAAGGCACATAAATGGACACTTTGTGGACAATTTAGGGATGGCAACTGCTCTAACTGTAAGAGAAAAACTGAGAAACAGGAGGAAACCCACATGCATCAAACCAAGGATTGTCAGGGCTGGAATGATTAATACATGAGTTAAGTTTATAATCATAAGTTATTAGTTCCTTGATGGCATTAACGCAGTATTTTGATACTCAAATGAGAGAACTTTACCAATCTTGTGATCTTCAGTGGTTGTCAAGCTTCTGTTTTTAGCGCCATTAGACCGATAACACAGTAGGGATGAAACAGCATTTTGAGTCCCCTGTTGAGTACCTGCTACTATAAGTATATGTGGTATATACCATTAATCTCCAAAGAGTGTGATTTAAAAAAAATCATTTAACTATTAATATGACACCCTCTCTTTTCTTATTTCCATTTGTTCATCTAGCCTTTCTGAAAGCTTTGAAATTCATCTTGTACTTGCTTACAAGTAATATTGATGGAAATGAATATCCTGTACATAAGAAATTTAGGCTAGACCATTAAAACAAAAATTAAAGTATGGATAATTCTGACAAACTGAAGAATTTTCAAAAAAACATTAAAATGAAATAGTGTTTTTTTGTAGAGCAAAGGCCATTACCTTAAATTTTGAAGTACATAAAAATTATTATTGATCCAATTTGATGATTTTCCTAAAATAGTTACCCAAATATCAAATAAATCACAAAACTACATAAAATGTGTTTAAATCATTCAACTTAATTGCATATAACTCAGAATAAACAACTAATTTGTATTATAAGATGAATATTTTCATTGATTTTTTGATTAGTCTTGAAATTTTTTTCTCGTCTCTGTAACTCTTGACCTGGATTTGATGACATACTTCTGATTATTACAGAAATAAATAGTAACATAACAAAATTGATGAAGTACCCCAGAGGAAAAATCAACTCTTTAGAAAATGACGTCGAAGTCTTCAAACTAATTCAAAAAATAGATAAAGCTGATATGTTATGGTAATGAGTTCTTGAGAATGACCCACATACCTCTTTGTGTTAATTCTACATTTGGGGATTCAACGTATAAATATTTATGATTATAAGTTTTAACATTAGGTGTAGTTCATTGCAATGAATCAGAGAAACCTGTACAATTAATTAGTTAATTTTTTAAAATTGATTCAGAGCCCTAATAATAATAAAAAATATATACTGCTGAAGAGCCGTGATAGGAAATGGCATGACAAAAACTGAGAGAACTGAGTGACAAAAATCATTATTCATATTTTACCCAAAATCGTGCAACCCTACTCTATATATGTAGAGTGGAGGCCAGAATTGAAATCCCAACCTTGGAGGTATGAGGCAAGAGAACTACGTACCCAGGGCCAGAGAGTAATCGTTTGGGATATTAATAACTTGTTTCGAGTTACTTCAAAGAAGTTTAGTGTCTCCTAACTATATCTAATCGTATTGACAAAGAGCAGCATGACAGGCGACTTTGAATTTTTCTCTGTTGATAAAACAACACACCCAGCATGAGCCAGCTGGCCTCATTTTCATGTGGAGAGTTACAGCAGAATTTGACACACAAGAGGGCTTGTTCTCATTAGCAGTCCTGAACAGTACCGATCCACAAAACCATGCACTTTTTAAAACTGAGTAGCCTTAGCAACTGATGTAGCCTCAACTATAATAGAAATGAGTCATTGCACTTAAAATACAAGTGTTCCCACAATATGCCACTGCATCATTCATCGGGAATATCTGCCTACATATTCAGTGACTCAGTGCTGAACACAAAACTTACCTAATTGATCCGATTTACCTGAATCTAAAATGCAATACTGGTTGAGCTAAAATGGTTTTAGCAAATGTAGAATGAAGTGCAATAGAGTTAAATGAAAACTGTGGCTGAAGTGCATGTGAACAAGACACTATGTACATCAAAAACATTGCCGAAATTTCTTGTGATCATTGCATTTCCATAAAACTGACTTTTACTGATAAAAAGGGCAAGCTTAATGACATAATATCTAAGCCTTTCGAGGTGAAGCAGGCGTGGGATGAGGCAGCAGCGAGCGTGTCCTCGTTTTATGGCATCACCAGGTCATCTGCTCAGTGGTATAAGGAAGCCAGAAGACGGGGAAAGCAGAAGCTCGCTGCTGAACGAGACCAGCGGCTGGGAACGGGGACTTAATGATGCTTGTGTTTATTTTAATTTTGGGTCCGTAGTTTGCAGAATATAAATAAAAGTGCAATCTTTGTTCAAAAACCTACAGTTTTAGGGTGTTTACATGTTCAAATAAAAGGCAATAAGGTGGTTATTTTTCTACATCTCACACTTTAGATTCCTTACCAGGCTACAGGTGATTCAGCTCTTCTGCCCGCTGACCCCCAGTGTTGGGCAAGCTACTTGTAAAGTGTAGTGAGCTAAACTATCAGTTACTCAACAATAAATTAAGCTTCACTACACAAAAGCTACCACCCATAGAAATATAGCAAGCTAAGTTACACAAATATGGCAAAAGCAGCTTACTACATCAGAAGCTACTTCACGTTGTACCAACCTAATACCAGATCAGTGCAAAATGACAGTCAGATACACTGGTTAAGACATTTATTAAAGAACAACCCATGATTTAACAGTGTAGACATTGCGTTATGTGAAGCATCGAGACATAAATAAAAGCTTACTTCTGGGGATAAAACAAAAAAAAAAAATTATTGGCCTACTACTAGGTAAACCAGTACTCTAGTAAACAAACTATTTAGTACCAAATGAAAGCTACTGTTTAGTGTTCGAAGGGCAAGACATGGCTATAGGTTTAAATCAATAAAAAATTTCTAGGGAAAAGAAAAACCATATTAACAGCCATCTTATTTCCTCAGGGCCTCCCTTAACGAGAAAACTTCTTCAGACCCCAATTAAACAAGTCGATTGAAGTTACAAATGAACTTTGTGTTTAAAAACCGTGTTAAACTGTGTTTACGGACGACATGCAACACCATGATTAATAAGCATGGCTCAGAGAGTGATCACTGGGACAACAGCAAATGAACTGGTCCAAACTGAAATGAGAATCAAAGTCCTGAATTACATGTTTTAGTGCTGGGGGGATGGGATGGAAGGGGAGGGGACCCCTGTGTTGTATCCATACTTTTTAATAACTAAGGTGGATGCATCATCAAATTGCTGGATTCATTTTCATTACTTTTAAGTGTTTTTTATTTATTAATTAGTTAAAACCCAGGACAGAATTTGGGCAAAGTCTATAAGTAAATAAATACTGTAGCGCGGAGGCACCGGCGGGCAGTGCAGCATGTAGGACTGATGCCAGCTTGTAAATAGTTCTCAGTAGTCGCTTGTGTCATTATACATGTGCTGTGTGTTATGTCATGTATAATCGTTAATGTTTATTGTTGTACGTAGTGTGCATGTGTGTGTGCGTGCGCCCACTGTGTGTGTGAGGAGTAAACGGGGTGATGTGCACGGTGCGCAGTGCAAATGTGTGGGTTGCAGTAATACGGGTGCAATAAACGCCATCTGGTGATTAAACCCCGAACTATCTCTGCTGTTTAATTGTTGCGAGAATGGTTCGGCGGCCCACTAGTTCAATACTTTATTGTAAATATTAAACTGTGTGTGTGTGCGCGCGCAAGTCAGCCTATTTGCTTGAGTCACGTGAGCAGCATCGCTTACTCAGACATCCGCAGTGCATTCAGGACAGAAACTGAAACTAAAGTATCGATCTCATGACGCTGCCATATGCATGCGTGTTTCCATAGACAGGCAGTGGAAGCAGAGTACAAGGTCGCGCATGAACATGCTTCATTTGTCCGATTGTTGCGTTTCAAAATCATACTGCAGAGGAAACCTCTGCTTTCCTCAGACATGTCCTGGAAATTGTAGCTTTTTTGGACGCTATGTCGCTACTTGATCAAAAAAATAACGTAACTACTGGAATGTTATTTGATTCAGAAATCAGCGACGCTACAAGCAAGCTACTAGAAAATGTAGCTAAACTCATAGCTTCGCTACATGTAGCGGCGCTACCGCCCATCACTGCTGATCCCTCCTTGCCCGCGCTGCCGCCCTACTCTGCTTTGTTGGTATCGGCAACAGGCAGTTATGCCATCAGACCTTCTAAAGTCTCCTAATGTGTCCTCATTTATGTCCAACAGACATCCATCACATGTGGCAATGTTATGCAACACGCAACATGCCACAAAGATTGCTGCGACCTTCTGAGGGCTGCATGGTAATCTTCCAGCTGACTTTAGTATTAAAAGTATTTTTGCGTATAAAATCTCTTGGATGAAAACCTGCCTACTGTGTGACTTAGCATTCATAGTGGATGTAATAGGAGCACTTGGAGGTCCTTCGGAATCCCACTGCCACAGCTTCATTGGAGAAAGTAGAGTCAGAGGACTCACTATTGGTGAGGTCAGTGCCATGGTAAAAAAACTATTCAGTGGTAAGGCTCCAGGGGTGGATGAGCTTCTGAAGGCTCTGGATGTTGTTGGGCTGTTTTATATGACAAGCCAATTCAATATTGCATCAAGGTCGGTGACAGTGCCTCTGTATTGGCAAAAACTGGTGGCCCCAATCTTTAAGCAGCGTGTGGCTCAGTGGGCTAAGTCTATGTGCCTGTAATCAGAAGGTCGCCAGGTCAAACCCAGCCTCAGCATGTCTGCGGGTCCTTGAGCAAGGCCCTTAACCCCCAGCTCCCTGGGCGCCCCAAGGCCCTTAACCCCCAGCTCCCTGGGCGCCCCAAGGCCCTTAACCCCCAGCTCCCTGGGCGCCCTGACAGGTGGCTGCCGTTTGCAGACAGCTTACTCTACAAAGAGCAAGTTGAGGGAGGCGTAAAAACAATTTCCCCACAGGGATCAGATCAATAAAGTATCAATTATTATTATAATAATTAGAAAGGGGAAGCGAGGGTGTGTTCTAACTTCAGGGGGCTCATCAGAGCATCCATGTGTTGTCGAACCTCAGATACAAAAGGGGTAATGCAGATTCCATCCCGGTCACAGAACACTTGACCAGCATTTCACCATTACAAGGACACTGGAGGATTCACTGCAGCTTGCCCAACCAGCCTAGATGTGTTTTATGGATATGACCATGTCCAGAGTGAGAACTTGGCTTGCATTGCTGACAGTAAGTCAGACCCATTCCCAGTGGATGATGGATATTTCACTGCACTTCACTTCTTTACCAGGAAATGTAACATGACTTGACAAATAGATGCAGCATCAGTTTTCACACTATAGGGCCTCAATGAACTGAGCCAACAGCTTGCTGGCCTATCAAGTGTGGCTCCCCACTTTCGGTATAAGTGAGGGAATAAACAATAGGAAAGAATCACTATAAGGAAAGAAAGAAGAGTCAGGTAAAAGAGGAGTAGAAAGCGAGATGTGAAAAAAGCAAAAGAATAGATAGATGTTTCAAATTCCCTTCCATCACCTGTTTCCCAGGAAATACCGCACGTAGTAGGGTCCAGCCTACCTATGACACTCTTGGCGAAAGAGGTCCTCATCAACGTGGCCAGGCCCAGGTCACCGATCTTGACAGAGCCTGTAGGTCCTGTGATGAAGATGTTGTCACACTTGAGGTCACGGTGCACAATAGGTGGTGTGCGCGTGTGCAGGAACTGCAGACCCTTCAGGATCTGCCGACACCAGCTGCGCAGAACCTTGGGTTTCATCACCTTGAAACGCTTTAGGTACCTGCGGAGAAGGGAGAGAAGCCGGAAGGGTTCTCCAGTTACAGAATTACTGTAGGTGAATGGACAGTCACCCCAACCTCATTAAGAACTGATACAAAATGGCCACAAATATTAGACGTGGAAAGTGGCAGATCCTTTAGAAAAATACTTATAACACTAGCGGAAGCTGATCCATAGTTAGTATAATTCAATTCCAAGCTGTTATTCAACATATTTAGGTTCCTTTTCAGCATCAGTTGCTACAAATTTTCACAGCCAATAAATCAGCAAGGGGATGTGTTTGTGTCCCTGATGAGGAAGCCAATGAAATATATTTTTAAAAGTTACTTATTTATTTATACAAATGGATGATCAAATAAACACTCAGGTAATATAAGTAAACATTCATGTCAGTATAGCTAAAAGTGAATTTTTTAATTTTAACTGTGTGCAATTGTGGTGGCCGTAAAGCAGGTTCGTTACGTTTTCAGGGTTCCGGAGGTCATGAGCTCTGTCACCAGTACGATGCACTTCTTTCCCCGTAGTACTGACTCCCAGGAGTCGTAGAAGCGCACGATATTGGGGTGCTGCAGCCCCTTCAGCATCTCCGCCTCCTCCTTGAAGCGCTGCTGTTCTGCCTTGGTCAGCTTGCGGTCCTGAAGGATAATGAGACATTTGATTTTTAGAAAATGCTTCTACCAGAGTCATTTGCAATCAATGTAATGTGCAATCAATCAGTACCTCTGGGTGAGAGAGTAAAGTATACATTACAGAGAGAGAGAGAGCAAGACCATGTGACATCACCCCTGCAACATGTTGAACTGTGGTTACACTTTTCAAAACTTGACGCAAACAACACTCACTGCAATATCTGTGAGGTGAAATGCAAACCTGGCCATAGCAATATCTCCAACCTGAGAAAACATCTGGTCAAACACAAAATATGTCTAAAAGCTGACAAGTGTACCGTATTTGATGGCCTGAAAGTTAAGTTCCCCTCTAAAGTCAGCAGCGTGCCTGCAGCTAGTACCAAGGCAGCTGAATTCTCCATGGATGAGACACTTTAAGTGAGGCATCAACAACTTCAACAACATCGTCAGGTAATTAATTAGCTAGTTCGATAAGTTGTTGTTGGAGAAAATTGAGATTTTTTTCACTGTGTTGGTTGAGGTTATCGTAGAGGTGCCATACCATGAAAACCCAATTTTACATCGGCATAGTTGAATAAGAAGAGTTCAGTACTTGGAACTGACATACCGTGAATCTGAAATGCTGTTTCTCCCTCTTTCAAATATAAATCCCACATATGGCTGTAGAGATGTTGGGTCTGTGTGACCCATCACAGTGCCTCACCGAAGCTGCTAAAATAGGCTGATTCAAAAATCCTAGACTGTTACGTAACAGTCTGAGCTGTGCCCCATACTAAACAAACACAGGCCACTTTCAAGCCCAATGGGCCTGCATAACCTGCACTCTCTCGGGGGCATGTGTGCAATTTCCACAAGTGCACCTGGCAAGGAAAAACATATATATTGACAGCATATAAGGTTATTTATTACTAGTAGGCTAAGAAGCTAAGTCGTATTCAGGGGTATGTTTGCCAGAAGCTCCTGTTACCAACTTACATATTTGGAACCATTCAGTTGCAATAACCATTTAAATAATATATTATATATAATAATTTAAATTATTTAAATTATAATGTAAATTACATACTCGTTTATCGAATAGTGTCACAAAACACCCTCCATACTATACACGATATATATGTGCTATAGTTTTATATGACTGGCTGCAGAGATGTTGGGTCTGTGTGAGCCATTGCAGTGCCTTACTGTAAACCAGGCAATCAAAGCAAAGCTCATTAACATATTAATAAGCCCACCAAAAAAAGGGAAAAAATTCTAGGGCCAAATAATAAGGCTGTAAATGGGCCTGTAAAACCAATTCTGGGCATTTTTTGACCAAACCGAGCTCATATACCTTCTGTGTAGACACCACAGAAGTTAAAATACTGAAAAAATGCATTCTATGGCATTTTTACTAGCTTGAGTCAAAACTGGCTGCATCAAAATTCCTTACCAGTATGCTGTTTACGGTAAACAAACAGTAACGTTACGTGAGATTTTTTAAGCATGTCTGAAACATTAGTATGGAATTATATAAAGCTATGCTCTGGTTGCAGACTGTGACAGACTGGAGGTTTTACCATGGTTAGAAGATGAAAAATGTCGTATAGAGACATATTCTGTCTCATGAATTAAACCCCGACAGCGTTGCACACAGTTTGCCCTCCATTGCGCTTGGGAACTGTTTGGTCGGAACAAATGTTTAACCGCTTGTGTTCTGTGGATCTCTTTTTGGCAGAGCATTGCTACATTCTGACTGGTTGTTGCCGAACTGCGTCACAGCTCATTAGCATAAAGTTGACAGGGCTTCAACTTCATTTTGATCCTCCCACTGCCCAAACTGCGCTACCACTAGGAGAAGCGCCTTCCCATAGAGAATGAATGACTTCTGGTGGCTTTGACGCTCTCACCCCTCGCGGTGTGAAGGTATCTTTAAGACACCGTGCCAGCAACTGGAAAGCTGCTGGTTCAAACACCAGGTTTGACAGAGTTTCACCATTGGGCCCAACTGCTGTAGGAACAGTCTGACTCCACCTTTTCAACTGTATGTCACTTCAGATAAAAACATCAGCTAAATAAAAAATATGTAACATTATTTTAAAAATACAGGGTTTGTGAAGAATCAGTGAAAGGGCCATTCAGTCTTAACTTAGTGAACAATGACAAGACAACAAATAAAAGCATTTTATTTGATGCTCCCAAAGGGAAAGAAGAAGCACACTGCCCTAAAATGACATACCTATGAAAAACAGTACAACATGGCAATGCAGAATATTAGGGATGTTCTGATCTTCAATCCACTTTTTTGGTCCCCCATCCATTTAATACGTATTTTCGCTGATTCTGAGTGCCAATCCAATCTTTCAGTAAATATTTGCATTCTTTGTCAAGGCAAGCCTTGTGATTTCACAGCATTCTTCCTTACGATGTTTCTGCAAGTGGCTAATTCAGGGGAGCCCAACCTTTTTTTAACTCAAGATCTACTTTTCAAGTGGCCAGTGTGCCGAGATCTACCAGTTCAAATAAGGAGCCATAGCTATTACTCTGTTACTCTATTATTACTCTAGCTATTGCCTTTCTACATAGTTAACAAGCACACAGCTTGCATTGCATACAAGACATATGGACTTAAAATCTGAGTAAAAAAAAAAAAAAATCCTCTTTCTACTTTGAATGAAAATGATATGTTTTTGATCTTTTGGCTTTGACATGTTTGCTTGCGAAATGTTTACAGTACACGATTAATTGCACACTGAAAAATGGGCACGCAAGTGCACGGACACTTGCAATACACTTCACGATAGATTGAGAATTATTCCGCGATCGAAGATCGACTGTTTGGGCACCCCTGACTAAATTCGATTTGTTGTATTCAAAGATGCTATGTTGCCACCTCCTCTTGAAAGGATGGCACTTCAAATATTTCAGGTACCTGTCAGGCTGTTTTGAGTTTCCAATTTAAGGAATTTCCACACAGTTGACATCTTGATAGTTTGTAGTTTCAAGCCATGCGCCTCAGGCTGCGTACAACATGAGATCCTTATAATCTGTGCAACTGACGTAAAGTGAGTGAACTGAGTAAACTGAGTGGTTGCGGGAAACTGGGTTTGTGAAAAACATGCAGCACACCTAAGGGAAGCAGAACAGAGGCCAGGTTAAAGTCCACCCAGGCAGAGGTAAAAAGAAGATTGAATTGTGCTTCCTGCTAATTACATTCTAAAGAGTGATGCTCTAGATATGATGAGACACAGTCATGCTAGATCTAGTGTTGGCCGATATTGTAACTTAAAAATATCGGATAAACAATAATGTCAGGTTATCCAAACTCCCCCCTCCCCCACTTCCTGTGGAAACTGATTGATCAATAGGCTGATTAAAAAATTTCATGGGCCTCTAAAACATTGGTTCACAAACCACTTCATAACGTCTTGTACTCGCAAGGAAATTGTCAGGGGATGGCGGCAGTAAACCACGTACCACTATTATAATTAACATTTACATACACTGATATGTTTGTGTGAAAAACCAGTTAAAAAGATAATAGCAATGTGCTTTTCTATTTCTATCTAACGTTTTAGTTCTACATGGGAAACACAGGCAAGAAGGCTGAACTGGGCGCCACATACGGTAATAAATCTTTCTGCAATATTGCATTGTGTAGCCTATGCCTACTTCACTGACAAATACTCACCAGTTACTCACTGTCAGATACAACACCAGGACACCAGAGGCGACCTTAGTCCAATGCAAATGCAGAAAGCCGCCTGGACCCCCTAAAAGCCTGGGGCCCCAAAACGAAGACGGATAATATGTTCATTTAAATGACATGCCTGTTATTTACATTTTTAGTGACAGACAAATTTTCAGGATAAACAAAGTTGCCCCCATCCTGGCTGTAATGGGCTATTTCTACGTTGGCACTTAATGCGACCTAGTTTTCTTGTCACACTGGAGTATAGTGGAAGGCTACTTGTTGTTTCACTGGCAAGTGAAACTTAGCAAAAGAAAATGGGACAAAGATACAAGACCAACGTTACATTTATCCCATGTCTTTGATACTATACCATTAGAGTGGTAGACAAATTGTAAACAGATGTAGAGATAACACAATTAGACAAACGTATGCAAAAAAGCAAGACTAACCTTAGCGTCAGGGGTGCTAAGGCTTTTGCTATCTTAGGCTACAGTCTATGGCTACAGCGTAAGAAGGAACAATTAAACTTCTTAAATTTGGCCAAACGATCTGCAGGAGCAATTCCCAGCTCACCCCAATCAGTGAATTTTACTGGCAGCACTCCCGCCCTCACTCTGATCAGTAAGCTTTACTGCTGGCCCCCCACGCTTTGATTAGCATCCTATCACAATCAGAATTCACTTTATTGACCAGGTGCAACTTCATGCACGAGGAGTACCGGTGCCATTGATGGCAGTATTGTTGCCACTGATGTTCCATCATTTTTAATTCCCTTGTTTCTTTTCAGACTCCAAAAAACAGCTCAAACAGCCCACTTAGGGGGCCCCCTACTCCAGTCAGTATAGGGCCTTCCGAGAAGTTAATCTGCTCCTGAGGGTTACTAGTCCGATATCATCGATTACCAATAACACCATCATCTTACATAGGCCTAGTGCTAGCCCAACATCACAACTGGACCTGCAGAGGCCAGTCTATGACGAAATTACCTAAAAAGAGTTGAATCTGTGAATAAAAAAAAAATATTCAATTATCCTCTTGTGACTCAGTTTTCCTTATTGTAACACAGTGTAAGATAACAGTGCTGTATTCAACCCTTTCTTGAGCAAATTTAAAAGGATAGGTTGCTTTTTGTAAGAATAATAGGTTTGAATGTGTAGTACTTTTTACAATTCACACTTAAGTATTTTTGCATTCTACTGAGTAGTATTTTACTAGATGACTTTTACTTGAGTAACATTTTGGTGTCGTATCTGGCATGTTTACTTAAGTATGAAAACTCTTTCCACCACTGGTTTCCAGCAGCATGTAAGTATGGTGTAACAGAGCTGACAGC